ATCCGTTACCGTAACGCAAGCCTATTTTTCAAACTTTCGTCGTCCGTGGAATTTGAACCCTAGACCTGCTACTTGGAGAGGGTGACGACTTGACCACTTCACTAAGCCACCACACCTCTTAGGCTTAAACAATTATATAGTATACTGTAAGTATATTTTATATATAAGCTTAGAATATCTGGCAAAGTAGTTACAAACATGCCAAAAATAGTATGCTATAATAGTATGCTAATAGTATACTATTTTATAAATTAATTATACAAAAATAAGCAATATTATAATTAGTTATATTAATAAAGCAGTATATATATAATATAAATTAATCTTTAGTATAACTGAACAATATAAAATTATTATAGTTATTCTTCTATACAATTACATAGTTGGACACATAGTAACTTTTTTTAAAATATGCTTATAGAGAGGTTGTGCTTATATAGAGATTTTTTTTTTATAAATTAAATTATAGTTTGGTCTAAATAAAAGTGTGATTATATAAGATATGATTATATAGGTGACTATATGGAGGGACGACTGTATAATATCTGTTATAGCTCTAATAAAAATAGTACTTTCTATAAAAATAATATATACTAATAAATTTGAATAAAAAATAATAAAAGCAATAAAAGCAACTATTTTAATTTTGTAACAATATTAATTTAAATTTTTATTTATCTTTTGCAAAATATTAATAAATCAAAAATATATTTTCATTTATACTAATACTCAATACTAATATTGTAATAAAAGCAGTACAACTTTTAAAAATTCTTGTTACTTGAAAACTATAAAATTATATGTTATCAACTTGTAGTAAATATAGCTAAAACAAAAAAAAACAATCTTATGTAACCTTTTTAAAGCATTTAAAATTATATTATAATGACTAATTGTCTTTACAATATCTGTGCTAACATAAATATAAAAAAAATTAGATCACTTTGCTTTTGATAAACAATTTACAAATAGATCAAATAATTTTATTATCTATAGATATATAAAAAAGGTCTTATGCTTTTCGCTAAAATTTATCACATAACTCAACTCACATAAAATTGAGATGTAGCCTCACGCAAGGTGTGTGAACATGTGCTATGTTTACCTCACGCGAGGTACATTTCTAGTTCGTCTCCTATATGGAGATCGAGATCTAGATCGAGATCTGGATCGAGATCTTGATAGAGATCGGGATAGAGATCCAGATAGAGATCGAGATAGAGATCGGGATCGGGATCGAGATCGAGAACGGAACCGAGAACGGGATCGAGAACGGGACCGAGATCGGGATCGAGATCGGCTACTTGAAGATGTGGATGATATTGAACGGGAGCGGCGCCGTCTTCTCTTACTTGTTCTTATTGTATCAACAGAAGACGAGCGGTCTCGACGATATCTATAAAACAAAATGTAATTAACAACCTATAGTTGATAATATAATTAAACAAAGAAATTAATATATAAAACCTTGTATGCGATGATTTAGACTTCGCGCTAGTTTTGCGAGACCGTTCACGTGATATAGACCTGAAATATTATATTAATTATATTCAACTTAAATCATAAGGCAAATAATCGCAAAAAAATCAAACCTCTTAAACTTTTTGCTAGCAGATTTTATTAAATGTTTTTCAATTTCCTCACTTCCCAAGCGTTCAAATTTCTGCTCACGTTCCTTTTGAATTTTCTTTTTTTCATCCACCTGAATTTGTTTATTCAAACCCATTTGAAGCTTCAAGCGAAGTTTTTCTGCAGGTGTCAATTTTTTTGGAGGAACCTTATTATTGGTATTAGTATATGAGCTGGTTGATATTACGTTTGCTTTTTGGCTGGATAATGTTTCAGTTTTCCTTCAATATTGATCAATAATGGATATAAATGAAGATAAGTCAATAAACAGTCGATATTTAATCATTAATAAATATTTCCCACAACAAAAAGTATGTTATAAGGAGAAGTGTTCTTTTTTTTTTTTTCAGTAAAATTTGTCGTAGGTATTCGTAATTTTCTTCATTTATCGCTAAAGTTTCTTGGTGATCGGATCCGCCATAGTGTGGAAAAAGAAACTTCACCAACCGTGTATGTGACAATGATCCTCTTTGCAACTGTGTTAGAGATAGCTCCTCCTTATGAGATCGAGAAGAACTAGATTCTGATGCATTTTCTTCAGAATTGCCAAATTCAATCACAAAATTCCCAATTTCTTGCTCTTCTGACAAGCTCGTCGACGAATCACTAGAAAAATAATGAGTGAATTAAACCACATATATAGCAATACTGACTAGGCTAAGACGAAAAAAAGTATTAAGATTACTTACGAATCTGTGTAGGGTTCGTACGTGGGTGAATCTCTGATTGAATAAGATCTAAAAATAAATTTAGCGCTATATATGAGTAAATTTAAAGCTCTGACCAAATCAAGAATATTATACCGATTTTGCATATGAATTCTTTCACTATGATCCTCTTTCCGTGACGTATGACGCCGCGATTTTCGTTCTTTGATCTTTAAGACAATTGTCAAAATACGATCAATGACAATATTTATCTAATATAATTAACATATTCCTATCATGTTACCTTCTGACTTTCTTTAAACTCTTGTGCCTTTTCTTCTCTATCACGTTTGGCGATGCGTAATAATCTAGTATAATCCGGGATTAGATATTTTTTTCCCATAATATTTAATGTCTGTCGATCTTTATCAGTCAAATCGTCCACATAATCTAAAATATCTTCCTGTATAAAAGTATGTCAAGGCGAAATAATAGATAATTTGCTAACTAAAATAATGAATTTCTGTTGTAACATGATGTGAATGGATATCATCAAGATGATGTGATTCTTCATCACTTGGAATTTCATCCTGCTTCTCTGTACCATAATCATATCCAAAGCCCTGACTATTTGTGTCAGATTTCCTAAAAAAGTAAGTTATTGCTTGAGGACTATATGAATAAAAGGATTAACTTATATCATATTTAACTGATAATCATAAATACTCTTGTAATTTTTTGATCATTGCTTTATGCCTTTCTAGTAGACTGGTCCACTCAGCCTCAATTTCTTCAAGGCAACTATCTTCTGTAACTAGTTTACGGATGATCAACGATATTTACATATTAACAAAAAAAAAAACAAAAAAAAAAAAATATAGTTGAATTGACTATCTAACCATTACGACGCTCATTTTCGACCAAGTCACGAAATCTTTCAAAGTTAAGTTCCTCTTGCAAATCTCTCTCATCTGCAGGAAGAATAGACAAGTTTGGATTATCTGGTGGCAGGTAATCTAAAAGCGCACGACCATCAAATCTAACATTGCGTTTATCAACAATGTCGGACGTTAAATTTTTAGGTTAAATATTTGAAAAATGTAAAGAACTTCTTCAATACACCAAACTAACCTATCAATTCTCGTTTCAGCATCCCCTTGCCATTGCATTCTAATCAATGAGGGATTTATTAGGTTAAATAGAATATCTTTATTAAATTAACAGAAATATTAAACAATGGTCAAAGAACACAAATGTGACTACTAAAAAAATAGTGCCTAATATGAAAAACATTAGTATTTGACAATGCACTAAATTCGGAACTCTAGCCTACAGGGACTTTTCGGAATTTTCATAGAAATAGTGCTGCTCTGCGTTAGGAAAAAGTTTACTCGCTGTGCCGGTAAGGCGAAGTAGTTGGCTAGGATCACCAAGCTGTTGTGGAAACAAATAGGTTAGAAAGTTTTACACAAAAGATGGATTTGACTTTTGAGACGTACGCGAGATTCATAGTATGCTCTTCTTCGTTCTGCTCTCTTTTTATGATCTACCATTAACTCCTTGATCTATTATAAAGAACTATAATAAGTAAAGATATAAATTTGTGTATGAATGCATAAATATAGGCACCTTTTTTTCTTGTTGTCTCGCCGCATGCCACATTTTGTTCAAATATTAGATTTAAAAATTCATCTATCAACGTTAACCCAATATACAGTATCGGTATACGTATAAAAATTTTAGATCTACAAATAAAAGTAACGTGATAAAAAATCTTGTTATACAGTATATATGTCGTGCCTCAGATCAATTCTTGCGTCAGATTAAAACCGGCCTAAGTTAGATTAGGGTTAGGGTAAGAATCTGGGAAGGATTTGGGCTTAATTTAAGTCAATCAATATCGATCAGTTAATGCGGGCCAAAAAGTTGACATCTGACGCAAGCATTAATCTGAGGCACAACATATATACTGTATACGTAACGATAATGTTTTTTTTAATGTGTATACGTATAGCGTGTAATACTGTATATACAATACGTATAAATGGTTTACAAATAGTTCGATATTCTTTTATTCTTAGCTAATATGCAAAGAAACTCAAAAGCTTTTAATCATGAGGATTGCAATATCATACAGTAATTGAAAAAAAGGTTGGAATTATTAACAAGCAAGTTTGATATTAAAATTCTAGCACTAATTTTTTATGCTTGAATCGTATAATTTTTAGCCATAACAGATAAATAGATAAAAATATCTTATCGTTATACGTACGTACAGTATTAATTAACCTATTTTTTTGAAATTTAATCTTATTACTCATAGGCCCTATAGGCAACAAGATTAAATTTCAAAAAAAAAATAGGTTAATCAATATAATTTCTCTATATGTAGCATAGGGTAAGTTATATGATGTATGAAAAAAAACTTTCTATTTAAGTTACATAAAATAGAATTAGTATTTAAAAAAGAATTTTTATATGTAAATTTGCGTGCTAAACATTTTTGCTTAAATTAAATTTAATTCCGCTACGTATTACGCGCAAATACGGTAAATTGGTTTATTTTATTATACGTAGTATATATACTGTATATATACCGTAAAGTCCCGAATATAAGCAATCCCCCAAAATAAGCAATACCTAAAGCAACCCTTTTAAAATTGCTAATTTCAAAGTTACTGAAACTATGCAACCCTTTTAAAAGAATCAGCCAAAATGGACTTTACGGAGTATTTAATGTCGGGGATGATGCTGAAACGGGTCTCTATTTAAAAACATAAATTCTACTAAAACAAACCTATACTCTTTAATTATAAACCCTAACCCTAAATCCATAAAAAAAATTTTCAAATTTCAGCATCATCCCCGACATTTAATTTATTAAATTAACCAGATTATTTACAGTATTAACCCCGAACCAAGTTAAATTTTAAAATACGTTAATTAAACTATTTATCAGCCCAAAACATTAATATATACTTTAGATTAATTTATGCTTTAACTCAAACCTATTAATATTTATTAAATACGTGATATATATATATATAGAGACTTGTTATTGCCACCTCCCATTTTTGTTAATGCCACCCCCAATTTTAAAAATGTGCTCCGGAAGAGGTATTTTTATTAAGTAAATCCTTATTTTGACCTTAATAAAAGTTGTTCATCAGGCCTTTCCGGTTCTAATGGTAGTAAAATCATTAAAATCGGGCCAGTAGTTCTTTTTTTTAAAAGTAGATAAATTTTAGCTAAATTCGGATATATATATCTTAGGAACTACTGGTCCGATTTTAATTATTTTACTACCATTAGAACCAGAATGGCCTGATGAACAACTTTTATTAAGGTCAAAATAATGATTTACTAATAAAAATATCTCTACCAGAGCACTTTTGATATCTGGGGGGTGTCAATAACAAGTCTCTATATATTAATATATATAAATCAAAAATTTTATCGATCTTGTCGAAATTAAAAAAAATTTTAAACAGTTCTTATAGCTTTTTATTTGTAAACAGCAACAAAAATTTTTTAAAAAAATTTTGGTAACACTTTATATATAGAAAGATACAAATATCAGTCTTATTTATTTTTTTTGTCAATTTTATGTAATTACGTGAGATTGATATGGTCAAAGCCATAGACTATAGTTTGAGACCATGGATTTGGTTTAAAACCTTGAGTTATATGTATAACTGGGGCAAATTGCGCATATGCATTGCTATTTCGGTAGTACATAACATCTCCAACCTAGCTATGGCAATAATATTAAATATCGAATAAATTTACAGTTTCCAAATTATTTCAAAATTTGCTACTTTATTTAATTAATGGTTACATTTTATATATACTTTGTTATAAAACTAGAACACCAGGCGTTATTGATCCTATCAATAAACAAGTTAGTGAAATTAATAAAATAATTTGAAATAAAAAGGAAAACATTTATTTTTTATATTATATAAACATTTACTTCGTGTTCAAAGTTAGTAAACTCATTCAAGCTTGTAGTATTACAACAAAAATTTTTTGTATAAAGGTAATTTTTAAAGTAATTTTAACGATTATCTATGAGAAAGGAATTTTCATCATTTAAAAATGGATTGGTTTGTCATATGTAGACATGGCTAAAAAAATTGGTAATATTTTATTATTAAATTCTGAATTATAAAGTTATAAAGTTTAAAATATAGAAATACACTAACCAGCTTCTTTGAGAGCTTCTGACAGTGTCTAAAATAAAACGCACAAGGTTAATAAAGATTACAATGGTTTTTGCTGATAAAATTAAAAATTACCGGGTGAGCGTGGCAGGTTCTTGCAATATCTTCACTACTTGCTCCATACTCCATAGCCAACACAGCTTCACCAATCATTTCTCCTGCATTAGGACCAATAATATGTATTCCCAAGATAGTGTCCGTTTCAGCATCAGAGATTATCTTAACAAAACCCTCTGTATCATTATTGGTACGAGCACGAGAATTTGCTGCGAAAGGGAAGTTACCAACACGATATGGTTTATTTGTTGCTTTTACTTCTTCTTCGTTCTTACCACACCATGCTACTTCAGGATGTGTATAAATCACGGATGGTATCACATCATAATTAACATGGCCATGACCACCGGCAATATACTCAACAGCAGCAATTCCTTAAAAAAGAATTAACAGTTAACATGTAAAAATTAAAACTACGTAATAATTTTAATTTTGCAAACCTTCTTCTTCAGCCTTATGAGCTAGCATTGCTCCATATGTAACATCGCCGATGCAAAAAATGTTGGGTTTAGCTGTACGAAACTGAGAATCAATTTTGATTCTACCTTTTTCATCAACTTCGATGCCCACATTTTCTAAACCAAGATTTTCTGTATAAGGACGTCTTCCAATTGAAACCAGAACGACATCTGCTTCCAACTTAATATTGCAGGATATAAAAGATAAATAAATATAGGACAATATTCATAAATATTTTTTAATCGAAATTTTAGCAATACATACGGTTTCCTTGGCACCTCCCTTGGCAGGTTCAACATTCACTAACACCTTACCACCCTTTTTAGAAGCGTCAATGACTTTTGTACTCATCTTAAATTTAATACCCTGCTTTTGAAGCAGTTTTGAGAAAGACTTGCTGTCATATATATATATATAAATTAACTTAGTTTATTGCTATGGATAAATTTTGGTATTTTGTGAGTGTTACATACGCGCACTCGCCGTCCATTCCAGCACCTACGGAACTTAGGTATTCTACAACTGTCACTTCAGCACCTAAACGACTCCATACAGAGCCTAATTCAAGACCAATAATACCACCACCAATAACAACCATTTTTTCAGGCACTTTTTCTAGTGAAAGTGCACCAGTAGAAGTGACGATTTGTTTTTCATCAACCTAATAATTTGTTTATATAAATGTTCGTCAGGAATCAACCCATCTATTCGAGCTGAATAAATATCACAAACCTCTAAGCCTTTAAAAGGTGCTGGCTCAGATCCAGTAGCAATGATAATATTCTTCGACTTTAGTGAAATCTTTTTCCCATCCAGACCATCAACTTCAATTTCATTTGTACTAACTAATCTGCCATGGCCTTTAACGTAAGCGACTCCATTCTTTTTGAATAAGCCTTCGACGCCTTTAGTTAAACCAGTAACAGATTTATCTTTGGACTTCATCATATTTTTGAGGTTTAGCTTCACATCCGCAACTTAATGGAATAAATTTCATTTATTCATTAACAAGAATTTAATATATTTGACAAATAATTATGTACCAAGCAAATATTAATTTCTTATACATATGTATAAATCATTCTTAAATGTATAATATTCCCAACGGTAATCCCACATCCGTGAATATCTCGCAAAACATAAAATAAACGAATGCGGGATGACAATTAATTTTCGCAATAATGATCATTCAGGTCTAAAGCTTATTATAATTTATCCAGAAAGTGACATTCAAGATTATCAGCAAATTTCGTTGCATACCATCAATTCCTCTGGATTGTAAATCATGCTTTGTTTGATGATAAATATGTGAATTATTCAGTAAAGCTTTAGAAGGGATGCATCCAACATTTAAACAAGTTCCGCCGAGCGATCCTCGTTTTTCAATACACGCAGTCTTAAATAAACCGTATCAATAAATCATGATAGAGTTAAACAAATGACTTAATCAATCGCCCAAACCTTTAAACCTAATTGTGCTGATTTTATGGCTGCAACGTAACCTCCAGGTCCTCCACCAATAACAACAGTGTCATACTCGGTATCTTTGATATGAAAAACATTTGATTATATTAAGTTGTTGCGAATTTTTACAAACAAAAATGAATATTTTATGTATACCAGTAGAAGTAGCAGCATAAAATCTACGACCAATTGCCGTTAAAGAGGTTTGTTTAATGGCCTTTGTCGTATTATGGCGGGCTAATATCTAAGTTAGTTAAAGCGTTAGTTCCAGCAAGCTAAGCTTCTATTAAAGTCAAGTAATTCACAATTACGTAGACTCGACTTGGTAGCAATTTAAACATTTTTTTTTTTTGAATTAAGCGGATATTTTACGGTATCGGCATGATTATCGCTTTAAAATATCCCTAATTGCCCGGAGGACTCATTTCTATGTGCTTTGAATTATGTTTTTGATATATTTATAATAAAAATATCAAAAACGTAGTTTCAGCATTTTCCGTTTTGATCTGTGATAGGGAGATCCCAAAATTCTGGGTCGGGATACATCGGAACTCTGGTTGGATGGGCCGGGATCAGGGACGATGATTTTCTGCGGTGACAAAATGCAAATTCCGTCCGTGACAAAACTAAATTCTGCAAAAATTCCGTGCATTAAAATTGCCTTTTCTGCACATTTTCCGTGCCAAATATTTAAAGATTCTGCGCTAATTATATAGAAAATATGTATATT